TTCCCTTCTTTTCCTTCTTTTTTTTCAATTATCATTTTTTAAATTTTATATTTTAACATGCATATTTACCTACTTTAGTTTAACGATATATATTTTGATTTTTGTTTTCATGAGTTTTATTCTGCACAGATTTAATTTCATACAAAATATTGCTAAATATCTATGTCCAACTATTTATAACTATGCTTAATGGATAATTATGATGGTTTTATCAAGGGGAAATCGAAATTATATATCAAGAAGTTTTTATTGCCAATAAAAGTTTTGTTAATAATAAAGTTAAAATAATTTTTTTAACAATAATGTTAATGATTAAATTTGCAAAAAAATTTCTCATTAGAATGAACATAATGCATACAATAAGTCCTTTTTTTCCATATTTATTATTTCTACATTATATTAAAAGGATAATTTTCATACAATATTTTAAAAGGGTAATTTTTTTAATAATTCTCTGCTTTATTTCCATTCATTGTATAGAATACATTGGTAATATGTGATATATTAATCATTTAAATTTACATATCTTATAAAGCCTGCATTTCTGCCCATAATACTTACATTAAGATACTTCATCGATGAATCATTCATTTAAAAAAGTCAATTAAAAAATTTCTTGTAACAATATAGAATTAAACAAATCCAAACGCTTTTAAAGAAAATGTTGCAATTTAAAAAAATATTTGATTCCTTCCAGTTAAGGGACTTTATCAGTGGTATACAAATAAAAGTTTATATCAAATATTAGAATGATGCGCACACACTTTCAAATATTTATCAATCTTTCATAAACTTTAAAAATAATGCTTCAACAGTCGAAATAGAAGTACTTCAATCATGCCATGTCTTATTTCATTTGTTATAATTAGACTTTTTGCAACCTACTAATAATAAAACTTGATATGACAAATGAAAAGCTTGATAAAGTTATTTGAACAAAATTCATTATTATTTTTTACACCAATGAACTACTCATAGCCTAAAAAAGCATAAGGAATGAAAAAGAGCAAGGAAAAATATGACTTGAGTGAAACCGACAAACGAAATCAATTAAACTGAAACGCTTGTCGTACGTTGCGCGATCAATTCTTCATCCCCAAGAATTCGTAAGTAAAAAAAAATCTCAAAATGTGTTAGAATAATAATAAAAAAAAGTGATTGCTAAAAATACATCTGTCTCGATATCGACCATGACTAAAAGTTCAAGAAGTCGGCATTTTCACTGGTACTCCATAACTGATACGCGGTTTTTATGAAAAGGTGTTATTAATAACCGTCTATTGAGTCTACTATTGTGAGTGCTCAGAAGATTTATCGTCCCCTTCTCTTGTAAAACCCCAAATTGAGAGGCCCTTTTACACTTAAGGTGGGAGAGGGAAATTATTGGAACACACCGTATTAAAGGCGTGGGAATGGGTGAAAAAAAAAGCATTGAAAAGCAAAATTTTATTGCATTGAAATATTCAGATATATAAAATGCGCTCTATTGATGTTAATTTAAAATCGTTCAAATTTTTTTCAGGACAAAAATTTTAGGAGTCTAGGAAATAAATACGTACTATATGAGTTATAAAAGTCATCTTCAAGTCACTCTTTTCTTTCCTCCTAATGTTATTAAAAAGGGTGAGGTGAGAAAAAAAAGCTAACATAAAATAAATTTTGTTTTAATTATCGGATTTTCAAGTATAAATGGCTAATATTAATACAGGGTTCGTTGTTGTCCTGATAATACTGATACAAAATATATCGTCCTTATTTGTCTTGATTTTTAGCTTTTTTTCCTAATATTCCTGAATATTTGTGTGGTCAGAGCATCCCATTTTCTATGAATAAAAGTGCGGCTTTTAAAATAATAAATTTTAAGAGTCGAATTATTTGGATTTTCATTGCATTAGCTTTTTATTTTAAATAAAAATGCTAGCAAAATTTTTAAGTTCAATTGTTCAAACTTAGGGACCGTCCACTAATTACGTACTTGGTTTCAGGCGAATAACCTAACAAGCAGGATTCATTTTTTAAGATTTTTGTAAATTCATTCATTTTCTCAAAAGGAAACACAATTTAACAAGCTTAAATTATCAATTTTGTTTTATGGTAAATGAGTTTAAGAGTCATATGCGTATTTATTAAAGTGATTTCGCAAATTTACATTTGATTCTGTACGTTTACCTACATAAGATTTGAAGCAATAGCGCATGCTCCTGGAATTTTTAGAGACTACGTATCTTTACGTTTTGTTGGCGTGGTATTACAAAGCTATATGCGCGCCGTTCATAGCTGTTGAATGTTGTTTTTTGTTTAAATCTACTTTCGAATAGAGAACATAGACATATTACAGATAGATTAAGAAGGACATGTTATAGATAAATTAACACAAAATAAAGATGGAAGATTCGCTATTTGAGAAATTTTAAAAAGAATTGTGCGATTTTAAAGCAGTTGGCTGATTTAATAAAAAAATAAGTTTTATTGGTTTTAGTTTAAAGTTATGGTTGTTTAATTGCACTGGGTCTATAAAAAATTTAAAATATTTTCGTTATTTAAAATTACAGAATATATTCATTTTAATTGTACAATTTAGTAGGAAGATATACACTTATATTGAAATTATTTGTTTTGATTTCATGATCGAAGTTAAGATTTTTATTATTTCACTACGTTAGAGTTAATATCATGCGGGGTTTTGCAAAATATCTTGCTTTCTTTACCGTAAGTTTGATATTTTTGCAGAGCGCATGCGCATTTCACAAGAATAGACGCACGGGCACTTAAAGTGCCAGTACGTCTTACTTCACAATGTATGTACAGAATATAATGCAAGAGAGCGTACTGAATGTAACGCAAAAGAGCGAAATCTTATTGTTTTCAGTATATTTTGTAGTAGTGTAATTTTAAGCCAGTCTTATAAATGTATCATTTTTTAAATGGTGAGTTGAGGGATCATCCACTAAATTAATTATGCACAAAAATGTTAAGCAGCATATTCGCAACATATGTTTTCGCATTTAAGTAACATGCGTTTTCTTGTGTAAGCAACACATGTTTTCATTTTGTGATTATTGAAACTCTGCTCTAAAATTATTTGATTATCTTAAAGACGAATCTTAATGAAGAATTTTCGTTAAATATTGGTTTCAGTGAATATTAGCAAACTGGTATAGTTATTATTATTATTTTTAATGAAACAGCATTACAAAAACCTATCATACACTAATATCAAGCATTAATCTATATGTTGTTATGTTGTTCAATGCCCCAGTAATGAAATTTTTATTGAAACTATAAAAACTTTCTGTTCTAAACAAAGCAAATTTGAATTAGAAAATATTTTCCTGTTCTTTTTCGATACCTGTTCGATTCCTGTTCTTAAGCAGAGCAAATTTATATTAAGATTAAACTTTTTTTTGTTTTCCTTTTAAAAATATTTTGGTACGTATAGTGTTCCAAAAAATGTCCTGATTCTTTCCTTTGTGCCCTGCGAGATCTGATTAACGAGTTAAAAGTTTATATCAAACACCCTAATTAACTATAAGTACATTTGAAAAATCAGACACAATTTCTAAAAATATCTAGACTATCAAAATATGGGAGAGGAGTGCTGCAATCTGGAAAATATAGTCTCAATAATTTAATGAGAAGAGCGAATACAATTTAGGGCACTTTAGTGATAATTTCACTTTAGACATATTAACTTTCGCTCTAAATTGGACTAGAAGTTCTTGCGAAATAACTGTTAACTATACAATTTTACCATAAATTTTATAACTCAGAAAATCTTTAATCGATTTCATTAAATTTTAGTAGTTTGGGATTTAAAATGATATAAAAATTCCTATACCTTTCGATTCCTAAATTTTTTGACCATTATTAAAAGAAAATAATTAAAAATAATAAATAATTATTACTTCTTTTGCACGGAGCTGTCTTTGGATGAGAATTAGTCTTATAATGTCTTCTAAAAATTTTTTTTGATTCACACTTTTAGGGAGGGAAATTATTCTTGAAACTGAGAGGATATTTTTTGTCGGTGGTGAACATAAGTAATCATTATCACATGGCTAAGTTTCCAGCTTTCGAAGAACGTGTGCTCGATTCTCATTGGCTTAGTTGGCACGGATAAAATTCTGATAGTTTTCCCGTATTAGGTGAAAGCAGTCAATAAACGATTTTTCTAACAGTTATCTGCTTGAATAACATCTTTTTAAAAATAATTTGACTGTTTTGGTTATAAAAAAATGGTAAAATAACTAAATTGTTATTTTACTAGTAATTTCTTACCAGATATTTCAAACATCATAAACAATAAAAATAATTTACAATAAAGCTGACAAAACATGTCAAACACTATCATTAATGCAGTCAAAAAGGACAAACATACTATTTTTCGATTTTGTATTTGTTTTTTCTCAATATTTTAAAATTTTTATTTCATTTTATTTTAATAGGAATTGCACAGTTCTTTTCACCTGGTCATTAAGAGCATAAATTAATGCATGAATGTAATACTAGATCTAGATACATTAGAGTTGGATAGTGTGCTTAGTTAAAATAAATGTTCTGTTCTAGTAATCTTAAAACAAAATTACCTAAATATTTAAGTCTTACTTTTTGTTCCATTATTTGCTTACCCACTGTAACATTTTTTAAAAAATGTGGCTGTTAATTAGCTTAAATATTAAAACATAGAACTTGGCTAATAGTTCAAAGTCGCCTATTAAACATAAACTAAAACACCCATTTTAGTTTTAAGAATTTTTAAACTTTTAATATTTGCTTTTTTTAAAGTATCACTTTTTCTCCCAAAGAATTATTCATAAAAAAACATTTTTAATAATGCAAACTATTTTAAAATAATGATTGGTTTACGAATTCTGGTTAGATAAGTTTTTTTTAAAATTTTTTTGCTAAAATTTCTGATATTAGATGGAACTGGTTTTAAAACTAAAGACTTCATATGACAAAGCATATTGAGATTTCAAAATAATTGCATTTAAACTCACCAACAACTATAACGTGACCAAATACTTGATTGCTTCCAATAGTGGAGCAGTTCCATCGATGATAACGAAATTGTCTTTGGCATTCAGCTACTCCTAAGCGCGTTCCTTCACCGATTGCTACTACAATGTCGGGGCGAGTTTGGCAAAATATTCGTTGAGGCATTGTTAATCCAGGAATTTTATTACAGATATCAGCAGCTCGTACAGCAATGACCCAAGACATGGCTCTGAAATAAATTAAGAAAAACATTCTATTAATATTTCACTATTGTAGGGGGCGCATCAGATTTCGCATTTGAATTTCGAGATTATTCCCATTAAAATTAATAACAATAAAAAACTAATTAGGAAAAATTGAATCCTTAAACAAACTAAAGGTATCGACTTTTTTCTCTTTTGCAGTCGTATTTTTTTGTTCATAACTCAAAGAATAAATTACTTTCACCTCATAAAAGTAATTAATTTTATACTTAATTCGTTAGAGAGTTAAATTCTAAAATATAACATTATAAGAGTAGGTTCAGTAGGTTCTGATAGAAGCTTTCAAAAGTACAAAATTTATTGATCGCTTTATAATGCTTCGAAGAGCAACCCTGACTAAAAGGTTTTATCCATTAAAATCACCATTGAACATAAAATTTCCGCTGTTGCATCTCTTCCATTTATAGAGGACTATAATAAGATATCAGAACATTTTATAGCAAAGTTTATGGGACTAAATTCCTGTTAGTCTCTCACTATATATTACCTCTTTCTGTATCCATCTAGAACAAGATATGAGGCAATTTATTAGTACCTTGATGTTTTGTGACGCCCACTTAATCTAGAACGGCTAGTTTCTAATAATAAACGGTAAAATATTATTTTCCCCAATAAAATAGAACACAACTTTGATAGAACAGGTTACACATGGGGAGTTAGGAAAGCTAAGAATATCCCCACATTCATATATGTTGCACAAGAAAAAGGTACCATCTTGAATGTCATGCTTCAGTACTTTCATTAACGCGAATATTGCTAATGAAAACAAATTTTAACTATTAATGAATATTTTTTTCTGTAAGAGATAACACAGTTCTCACGTTGTTTGTTAATAACTAATTAAAAGGGGACTACATAGACCAAGGATGGGGAAACTACGGCCCGCGGGCCAACTGTGGCCCGCCGGAAGGTTTTATCCGGCCCGCGGATGGAATTTTAACTTGCTGATCTGTGGCGAATATAAACAATATACATCCATTTTCTTGTCTACTTTGTTTAAAGTTATTTTTCTTTCTTTTTTAACTAAGTACTGCGGACCTTTTAACTTTCTCTATTTTTGTTCTACAAAACATAAATTGATGGAGGCTAGCATAGACAGCTTCAATTGGTAAAATGAGCAGAAGTTCTTTATAGAATAGCCGTAGATTGGTGCCATCTGAAGCAATTGTTTCTGAATATGCCAAAAATTGAGTTTTACAAATCATTACCAAAAGCTAGTTTCCCAAATATTTCATGCCTAGAAAATCAGGGCTATGTTTGCTTCCTTTTATTTATGGGTGAACAAGTGTTTTCATCTACGAACCTGAGAAAAAATCATTTCAGATGTAGAATAACAAACATTTCTCCTTGTCCCTGAAAATAAGTACATCTCACTTGGAACCTTAATATAAGGAACTTTTAAAAATGAAATCGCAATTTCATTCATCTCATTAAATATTTACATTGAAAATTGCATATAGTATTTTTTTTTTATTTTAGATGTTTTTATTTAGCACACCAATTTTTTTTCCTTCGATTTTTGGCCCTCGGCCAGAAAAGTTTGCCCATCCCTGACATAGACTATCATGGAATTTAATTTAAATTTTGTCTCAATCAGAATAGGAAGAATTTGAAGCTGGGTTCTATTATGAATAAGAACTATTCTTGAAATTGCAGTTTATTGAAATAATCCTCTTTACTACAATTTTTTAATGTATGAATAGTAAAAATTCCTTTGCTCTGTTTGTAATTTGCATATCATTTAAAATTCCAATTGGTGCCAAAAGTGCTTTTGTAATCTATGTATAGTGTGCAAAAAATAAACGAAACACCGTGAATTAGTTTTGATCTAATGGTCGGATTTGCACGTACGAGGACTCAATCTTAATGATTCGAAGAGGTAATTTAAAATATGTTAAACAATGAATGAATAATGATTAAACATGAATGGTAATTTCACATTGAAAGTTCTATTATAAAACAGCGAAATCTCATTCTTTTTATTGTAAAACTGAAACTGATTTAAAGCAGTGTTTCCCAAACTTACGACTTTCGTGTTCTCTTTCTAAATTTGTCGTAACGCTGTGTACCACTAATACAAAAATGAATGTATTTTTTACTATGAAAAATTGCACAACAGTTAAAAATCACAACTGGCTGTCGACACCACAAATTATTAACTGTTAACTCCGCAAAAAATAGCCAATGGAAAAAACGTAATCGTAAATTTTCATGGCTAGCTTTGTTTTTAAATAAAATTTTTGGAAATTTTTGTTTTTAGCAAGATATTTCGCATAAGAACGCGTACCCCCGCTAAACTGTTCCCGTACCCCTGGGGGTACGCTTACCACACTTTGGGAAACACTGAATTTTTATGAATTTTAAATTTCAATTTTATGAATTTTAAATTTTAAGGAATACCGAAAACTCGTCATGTTTAAATACTTATATTCACTCAGAAAATATACATATTTAAGGCTTTAAATATTCAGGAACTAATATATTAATTTCATATTTTAATTGCTGAAAAAGAAATTTACGATCCGATTTCAAACATCCACAAATGATTTCGCCTTAACTAAGAATTCTTTTTAAAATTAAGTTTAAATTTAAACTACCGAAAAGCATTTCGGTAATTATTTAATAACAAAAGTTGAAATTTCTATTTTAAAATTTAAAAAAAATGTAATTTGGGAATTTAAGAATTTCAAGAATGAAAATACAATTTTTGCCGAGCAAAATGATTATAGGTTTTAAAATTTATTCCATTTGAATCAGAAACTAAATCTATAGAACAAAATCTGTGTTTTTGCAATAAAACTTTCAGTGTCTTTTAATTGGATACCTGCATGTTACGTCATCGTAGGGAAATCCTGGCATTTGTGAATTCAGAAGCCAATCAGGTTCGACACACACGCGTAACATCGCTGACAAGTATCTAATTAAATCCGATTTAAATTACATGGTGAGGTATAATCTCTTTGCCTCATATCGTTTTGTAAGTACCCAATTGAATAAATTTTAATTGTTTATCGTCAAGAAATAAAAATGATTTTGAAGCAATAATGGAGAATGGTCAATGCGATCAGTGATGGAGCTCCCTAATTCGATAAATATTTTTCGAGTTTAGATTTTTTGATATACATTCTAGTTAAATGTATATTATTTGATTAATTTTTCGATTAATATTCCAGTTTAATACAGATTTGATTTAATGTTATTTGGCTCGATACTTATTATTTGATTTTTTAAACATATTTAGTTTTTATTGTTATTATTAATGCATACAATGTAATATTTTTTTCGATTTTAGTTTAATATAGATTTGATTTAATATTATTAAATAATATTTTGCTGGATGCATATTATTTAATTTTTTTAAAACATATTATTAGTTTGTATAGTTGACCACCCCAATTATTTGAATTGGTTTCAAACGTATTGTTCTATAACTATTATTTGATTTGGTTTGATACGTATTACGAACTGGAGAGGAGCTTCCTAATTCGATAAATATTTTTCGAGATTTGTTTGATACATATTATTTATTTGATTAGATTTTTCGATACATATTCTAGTTGAATATATGTTATTTGATTTTTTTTATTACAACATATCATTTGGTTTTCGTTTACATATTATTTGATGAAAAATTTTTCGATTAATATTCTAGTTTAATACAGATGTGATTTAATGTTATTAAGCTCGATACTTATTATTTGATTTTTTAAACATATTTAGTTTTTATTGTTGTTATTAATGCATACAATGTAATATTTTTTTCGATTTTAGTTTAATATAGATTTGATTTAATATTATTAAATAATATTTTGCTGGATGCATATTATTTAATTTTTTTAAAACATATCATTAGTTTGTATAGTTGATCATCCCAATTATTTGAATTGGTTTCAAACGTATTATTCTATACCTATTATTTGATTTGGTTTGATACGTATTACGAACTGGAGTGGAGCTTCCTAATTCGATAAATATTTTTCGAGTTTTGTTAAATGCATATTATTTTTTTGATTAGATTTTTCGATACATATTCTACTTGAATATATGTTATTTGATTTTTTTATCGGAACATATCATTTGGTTTTCGTTTACATATTATTTGATTAATTTTCCGATTAATATTCTAGTTTAATATAATGCTATTTGGATCGATACATATTATTAAATTTTTTAAATATATTATTTGGTTTTTATTGTTATTATTAATACTTATATTTAAATTGGTTTAATGCGTATTGCTCGACATAATTATTTTTTTGAGATACACATTATTTGATTACTTATTATTACTCATTATTTAATGCATATAATTTGATATCGACGATATAAAGTATAACGATGTATAATCTCCAAATATGAGCAAAAAATTATTTTTTATACCTTAGAAACAAAAGTTCTGAAACAATAAATTAGAATTTTTAAAGGAAAACACCATAATCACGACATGTCAGGATTCGCATTTTCAGCGGCAATTTTATCAGAAATATTATCTTACACCCCCGGGCTAATAAAAGACGTTGACAGCTTTATTTTGGTGGAGAGGCCCCTTAGCTAAAGGGGGAATACATTCCTAATTTCTTAACAAGTCATGATGCCTTGGTTAGGGCCCCCCTTATCTTCAGAACAGTCTCGGTTACAATTAGCAAAATTCATATTTTATCTAAAAAGAAAATATCCAATGATTTCTATATTAAACAAATAATTAGTTTAGTAGCCGTTTTATGAAGCCATGAAGCATTTTATTTTAGCTTTTGTACATTCGATAAATATGCTATAGTCCGCCATTTTCAGATACTGTTTGTTAAAAATAAAATAATCTGAAAATGCTCTAATCATCATTTCATGAAGAGGTTTTAAAGTGATAGTTTTTCAATCGGGTCTTAGTGGAGTTTAGAAGTTAGTAAATAAGTTACAAAAAACAATTTCACATCAAGAAAACTTTTATTTATGTTTTTTTAACATACAT